TGAGGTGCCGGATATGTCCATCATGTGCGACCGCGATCCCCACCTGCTTCTGCTTATTCCTGGAGTGCGAGGCACAACTGATCTCCATCGGAAGATACTACATTCACATCAAATCCGATGACGAGGAGGACAACCAAAACCCCAACGTCTCTGGAGATGCCAGGCGTGCACAGGAAGAAGCCAACCACGATGCGGCAGCACAGGAGGATGAAGACGAAGCGGAGGAAGTTCCGGGAGAAGATGACGACATGGACACGCAAGGATATACATCCGGCTATGCGTCAGAAGAAGAAGACAGCGGTTGGCATTACCGCGACACCGATCTGGCGTCACGGGACATTATAAGTTCCCAACGGATGGCGATCAGCCTTGACGAGCCGCGTGAGGCTCAGTACATGGCAGGATTTATCGCACTCCAGCTGTCCAAGATGTGGGGGATGTTTGAAGGTGGTGAGGAGAGAACGATGAATGCCGGACTCGAAGGGAGGCCGGGCTGCCCTTATCACAATGACTTCAAGAGGCACCCCAACATCACCGATCAGGATCAGGAAGGTATACTCTTACCATCAACAGCGAAGAAAATTTCTCAGTCGGAGAATGTTCGGTCGAGATCCTTCCGATCGGTTGAGGAGCGTGAAGATTATATTCGTATGATGGTGTGCAAATGCGAGGGACTTTACACATTCTACAAGCTGTGGATTGCAGCGAGAATCCTCGATGTCACCAAGGAAGAAATGAAGCTCCTGGTCAAGGACCGAGTGCACCCGGTGGGTGATATTATTTTCAGATGTTTTGCACTAGCTTTCAACTGTAAGTATATATCATTCGTGAGGGATGGCCTAAACCTTGGCAAGAATGGTTACACGGTCAACGTGAGCGCCATCATCTCGGCCATCGACCCGAACAAATGCGACACACCCCTGCTGGATTGGTGCCTTCGGAAAAGGCACTGGTTGCCAGAGGACTACAACAAGAAGTGTGTCCGGGCACGAGAAGCCCAGAAGAACTTGGACGAGGAGTTCCGCCGACGTACCCATAGGCTGTCCATTGGGGACAGGTATGCTTCGTGAAGATGCTGATTGCGGTACGATGTGGGCCAGTCCCCATCTGTTACTTGCGTCACATCGACACTGTTTCGGTGGAACGACTTATGTCATGATTTATATTCATGTGTCCAAGATGATTGGGTGTGTACATGGTTACATATTCCGATGACTATGACGCTCTGGATATTCATGGATGGAACTATTACCTTATAGATGATATCTTTTCATTATTTATGCATTGTCCATGGTATCTGGAATGGCTATGATTTGCATTGATTACTCACCGATGTTTCTTTGCCGGAAATATGCAGACCGATTACAAGCAGGCGCCTCTGGTGGACTTTTGCGGCCAACCCATTTATGGATGACAGCTGCGCGATGCGCAAATGCGGCAGCTGGAGTGTTCGTTGGTGGTCAAATGACGTGACGATTGTGTATTATATACACCTGCATATGGATGTGTGCTTCGATTGGAGGATGAATGTTTCACTTTTCGTACAATCGAACCCGACATGTTTCACAGCGAATGAACGGTGTAGTGATAGCAAGTAAAAGAATGCACGACACGATTTCGTAGTTGAAGCCGTGGCCAGTGGAACGTTTTGTGGTGTTTGGACCGCATGATGAACAATGCGACCCAAATGGGGGATGTTAAAACCCTCTAGGCCCTGTGCCGAAATTGGGTAGCTGTTCTGAGGTCCTTGTTGGTGTTGCTTCCCAAGTTCCATTGATCGCCATTTGGCTCAAGGCTCAAGACACAATCAAGGTTCAAGATCTGATGTGTGACTGCATACATACGTGATCGGCATTGAGAGCGAAAACACTTTGCTTGCGCTGCATTTGTCAGGACCACTGTTGTAACTATCAGTCCTTCTCCCTTACAACGTTTACACGGGTTCGGCTATAACGGCATCGTCCGTATACACCTTTCTACGTGGTTGGTATTACAGCTTGAGGGTTCGGTGCATAGCGTCCCACGGGACGTCACCTTGCCGTCTCTTGACATAATGTATGTCTGTATGTATGTATGTATGTATGTATGTATGTATGTATGTATGTATGTATGTATGTATGTTGTGTATGGATGTATGTATGTATGTATGTATGTATGTATGTAATTAATGTATGTATGTATGTATGTAATTCATGTATGTATGCATGTATGTATGTGATTTTTGTATGTATGTATGTATGTATGTAAATAATGTATGTATGTAGATAATGTATGTATGTAATGTATGTATGTATGTATGTCATTGATGTATGTATGTAAGTATGTATGTGTGTATGTAGTTAATGTATGTCTGTATGTATGCATGTAATTCATGTGTGTATGCATGTATGTATGTAAGTATTGTATGTATGTATGTATGTAATTAATGTATGTATGTACGTATGTAATTAATGTATGTATGTATGTATGTGATTGATGTATGTATGTATGTATGTATGTATGTAATTAATGTATGTCTGTATGTTTGCATGTAGTTCACGTATGTATGCATGTATGTATGTATATATTGTATGTGTGTATGTATGTATGTAATTAATGTATGTATGTATGTATGTATGTATGTATGTATGTATGTATGTAATTCATGTATGTATGCATGTATGTATGTAATTAATGTATGTATGTATGTATGTATGTATGTAATTCATGTATGTATGCATGTATGTATGTAATTAATGTATGTATGAATGTATGTGTGTTATGTTATGTCATGTTATGTTATGTTATGTATGTATGTATGTTATGTTATGTTATGTTATGTTATGTTATGTATGTATGTATGTAATTCATGTATGTATGCATGTATGTATGTAATTAATGTATGTATGAATGTATGTAATTAATGTATGTATGTATGTATGTATGTATGCATATATATATATATGTTCATATACAGAATGCATGTAGATCATCAAGCTGCTGATATACCGGGCCATGCAAAGGGCAGACTGAGCGCGTGTATTTTGTGAGGGGAGACCAAAGGAAGCCACCCAGGTTTGTTTGTCCCCGTTCTTGACAAAATCGTTGTAGCGGGGGGACTGCAAAGGGATGTATTTTTCTCTTTTTTTCTGGCTTCAAACCCTGAGAAAGGGTACAAATGCCCACCCATCGGAGTCCCCATCTTTGCCTAAGCCAGGTTTAAACATCCCCTGGACCACGAGAGCCTTAGTCGGTGTATGTTTCTTTTGAGGTTACCGCCTTTTTGTGGGTTGAAGAGGAAATTAAAAGGAAAACCATTCTGGGGGGCGCCCCGAAAAAAAAACAAATTTCGGCAGGAAGGTGGTACCGGCTCTGCTGGCGCCCATGACGCAGCTGCAGCTAAGCTCGCGGCAGCTGCAGCCGAACATCGCGCTGAAGCAGGCGGGCGGGTTGTGGCAGAGGGAGGCTTTTGGATTTCCCTTCAGGTGGTCAGACCAGACATAAAAAAAAAAAAAAAAAACGAACAAAAAATCACCCTTGCCCCAAACCCACTGGATGAGCTTGGTCCATAGGCGGGGAATCAACTTTCGGGGCGTTTTGGGTTTGGGAAGGGACGCGGAGGATGGGCTGGGCCAATTTCTGTTTCCCCTTCCCTTCATCCCCGACATACGTATGGAAAAGGGGAACCTGGGGCTGTCCTTTTTTTCGGCTTCAGCGGCTGCGGGCGTTTTGGGGATTTGTAGAAGCTCAAGGTTTTCGGGCCTTTGAACCCAGGTTTGCGCGCACGTGGCATTGTCCCAACTAGGGTGCCTTCTCGGCCTAGATGTTCGACCTCAAGATCAATCAACCGCCTGGTTCGTGAATCCTGGGTTCCGATCATTTTTCGCTTTCGCCCGCTCCGCGTGCGGGCGACCTCTCCCCTTCACTTGCAGGCGGTGGAAGCCTTCTGCGAGGGCCGCCCCCTGGATGAGCGCCGGGAGAGAGAACGCCAGAAATTGAAGCGCGCCTGCGAGGTGCGATCGGGGTGCGGGATGCGGGAGCGCTCCATGGCTTGGCCATTCCAAGGCATTTCTTTGTTAGACTTCGAATAGTTCAGAAGCTAGAAGGATTTACGACAATACTAAGATGTCTTTTTAGAGCTGACAGCCTTGCATCTTTTCAGAGGCTCAATATTTTTTCTTTTCGCAGCCTTCTATCTAACATTTCCTGCCTGCATGCTGGCGTGCGCTGTCGCGCGCCCCTTAGGAGCAGAAGGCGATGGAGGGCGAGCTCAAGTCCAACTTCTCCAAGGCAGGGTCGGACTTCCGATGCGACTCCCTTGCTTCGTTTCGCCAGTTCTGCGGGCAATTCCTCATGAAGGTTCTTGTCGAAACCTTAAAAGAGGCAACTATGCCAACAACCCTCAGTTCATGGAATCCTCAGCCGGGAAAGCGGGAGGGGCTGGGTGGCATCTTTGACCAAGCTGGGCCTTGTCCTGCGCGAGAGAGGCTTGTGCAGGTCCGGAAGAGCGACCATTCTGTTTTTCAGAGAGATGGGGGGTATTTTTTCAACAGTCTTTCTTTGGTGTCAAGGAAGCCAAAAGCAAATCCCTCATTTCGTTTGGCGTTTTCAGCGTCCGAATTCTGAGAACTCAGTGGGCCCTTTGGTCAGTGGCAACATCCTGTGTGCCCAAGCACGCAAGGGTTTGGTTGGCTTTGGCAGCTTTCCGGCCAGGAGATCCAAGCAATGAAGGGCCAGGTGCAGCAACTGGAGGATCCGCATCTCAAGGGCCGATGTTCTCTCTCGATGCGCTTCGTTGGCAAGGCCACGATCTTTGACTGGATTGGCATTTGGGCAATTGAGTGTCTCGTCGCCATGTCTTCCTTCTGCATTTTCCCCGATCTTGAATTGAATGTTCGTTGTTGAGTGCAAGTCAATGAAGCGACTGCGAGCGAGGCGTCTAACTGTTGGAACAGCTCCCTGGCAGGATCAGCTGGGCCAAGCCAAGAATGAATTGAATGCTGCCCAGGACTTTCTGTCGCATGCTGGAACGTGGCGGTGCACAGCCCATGGTTTGTATTGAAGGGCAACATGAACAGCAACTTGATGCCCAAAGACCTGAAGTTGAACTTCTGGGCGTGTTGGCAAAAGACACATCTTGTATGATTTGTATGCAGTTCGATATAGTTGAAATCATTTGATCCAAAGAATTGGCAATGATGTTGGCTTCCAAATTTGTCGGCTGAAAACACTTGCACGCCTCCTCGTGAAGGGCATTCTTGAGAAATGAGTGTTTCGCATAATTGTGGAACTTCTTGTGGTTGATGCTTCAAGGCAAATCAAAAGAAACTCAACCATCCTTTAGGACCACTGTTTTGAAATCCCCGCACATGACGATCGACCGTTTTCCTATCAATTGGATGACTCGAGGAGAAGGCAAAAGCTGCTGACACAGGCGCCACCGGGGAGCCATTGGCTTTTTCAAGTCTACCGGAGCGGTTGGGCTTTTCTTCCAACAACGGGGTTAGAACTCATAGCCCAACGAGCAAGCAAGACACTTTTGCTGGCTTTTCTGACCCGGACATTTGTTCTTGAAGTAGCAAATGCAAAGACTAGGCAACGGGACATGAACATGAGCAGCCTTCAAAACCCAGATGAAAGAAGTTAGTACAAGTTGCGCGAAAGGAAAACACAGGAGGGCATCAGGCCGCGAAAGCTTCGAGGAAGGGATGCGTGGAATCATGGTTTCCTGGCCCAATCTGCTCCGCGGAGTGCGCAAGATTCGCGAAAGGCCGCGGAAGAATTCGCAGGCAGACTCCAGGAGTCACATGAACGAGCAAATTCCCCAGGATTGTTAGCTTTTTCGGTGGGAAAGCGCGACCATCTCTCCAGTGGGAAGTTGGTGGGTTGTCAGACTTGCCCAGGAAGGGCCATGTTGCATCTTGGCCCCCCTCTAAATGGTCTGCTTCTTTAGAAAGGATGCCGAATGTACTATTGGGTATTTCAAAATGGGTGGTTCTGGGGAACCGCATCCCTCAAAAGCACAGCCATTTTTTGCCGCCGCCCATGGCAGGCTGCCGCTCCTTCCTCTCCCTGGAGTTGGAAGAGCTGGAGCGGGACCTCGCAGACCAGAGCGGCCCGGCGAAGCCTCGAATGTGCGGGAGGTTGGGATGAACTTGTCTCCAAATGGGGGACATGTTTTCCATTGGGTTCCTTCAAGCGCCCCCAAAGAAGCACACTCAAGAACAGACATTGGAGGGTATTCGCCTGTGGGCTCTTCGCTGGGGCCCCCAGCCTCGATGAAAAATCCACGGCCACACTGACACCTGACACGCCCACTTGCAAGTTTTCTTGCTCGGCTTCCCCTGAACATATGCCACTGGGATGTTGCATCCAGTTTGCTGCGGTTTCTGCGGTCAGGTGCGGAGGAGCTGGGGTTCATGCATCTGCCCTATGCCACCGAGCTGCCGGCCGAGAGGCCGCGCTTCGGGCGGCCCAGGTCGCAGTCCGCTTGAGGCCGTAACAGCGTGGGGCCCGCGGCCGAAGGCTGCCCAGGATGCAGTTGGAGGTGGTAGAGAGAAGAAGGGACAACGAAGCTGCACGGGGAAAGAAGGTGGGGGTGAGGTGGGGAGGCAAATGTATGGCGAGAAAACATTTTTCTCTGTTTTGGCCCACGAGCGGGAGTCTTTTTATCCTCAGTGCTTTGAAGCCGCCAGCGCTTCCGAATTTGAGTGCATGTTGCTCGTGCGCCAGGCTTGCTGGCGCATGTGCCGTTTCTCGTGAGATCTATAAGCTTTCAAAAGTAAATGTTGTGAACAAGTGTTGAGCTTGACTTGTTGCTTGAGCGGATTAGTGCTCAAAGGCCTCCCAAGGAGCCTGCAAGCTGCTTGTATTTGCAAGGGCTTCCGCCTGCTGCTCATCTCACGCAACCCTGCGGCTTAAAGAGGGCGGCTTGGCTCGTGATGTTTGCCTTGAGTGACCACAATGACTCACGCCATAGAACGTGCGTGCAATGTGATTTCCCATGCTGCCTGCTTCGGCTGAAAGGAACAACCGTGATACGGTTGGTTGCTGCATTCGCAGCCGTTCGGATCCATTATTTGGGATCATTCTGGCTATTGAGTAGGAGATCTCTCTAAAACAACTCAGCGGACTGTTCTGTATCTTTGTTTTCATTGTGTCCTGTATTGGTTTCAGCAAAGAGCAAGCATCACATGTATTGGTTGCCTTCCTCACCACCAGCTTGTGCTGCTTGGTCCATGCGGCATTGCTAGACTGACCAGATGTGTGCGCCATGGATCAGTCATGACGCAGAGCGACAAAGATCGCTTCGACTTTCTGGCGGCCGGCAGCAAGCCGAATCAGACGTGGTCTGGTCGTGCTGCCAAAAGCAAGGCAGCGTCTAAAGGCAAGGAGCGATGGAACCTTTTGCGTGGGAACGTCCAGTCCATGGTCGTGCAGGCCGGCAGTCTCATCAGTCGAGACGCTAAGCTGTGTTTGGGTGACCAAGTAGCTTTGCAGCTTTTCACAATTTGGGGCCAGTAGCATTTTTAGGTAACATTCTTGACTCTTGCCAAGTGTTTTTGCAGGTATTTCTCAGGTATGGGTGCGACGTCACACCTCGGAGCAAGCCGCAGACGTCACGCACACACACACACACAAACAGACGGTTAATGGTTGTCTCAAATCGCTCCTTGCCAGGAGGATAGCACAGCCATAGGCTCTTTTGCATACAGGTCCCGTGCGGCTCTAACCACATCATTTTCTGATTCTGATTCAATTGCAACCATAAGACCATTGCAGCCATGTTCATGCCATTTGCATTCAAAGTGAGGGTCTCCATTTCCGCGGGCATCTCCGCGAGGCGCAGGCTGTGGAGGCCTTCTCACCGCCGGCAGCCCAGTGATTTGCTTTGCTAAAGTTTCAACAGAACCACCTCCACAGTGCTTGGTGGACATAAATCCCTGCCTCAATGCTGTCCACCCAAGAAGTTGCATGAATGTGTATATATTTCTATATATATATATACATGTATGTATGTTGCCATGAATATCCACATTTGGCATCGTCATGATGCCTCTTGCTGTCGTTCGTTTGGGAACCAAGGATAGGGTTGAACATTTTTGACATCCCTTGCCGTGCGCTTCTTATTGTATTCCTGTGTTCCTTTAGGGATTTTTGGGGTTGGACTCCGATGTAGGAAAGCTGTCCAGAAGTAAGTGTGGCATCTCGGTGGGCACATTTCCAGGAGATCAAAGTCTTAAACGGAAGTCCTTGGAGCGGACCACTCAGGGGGTGAGAGGGAGAACGAGCTGGCTTCGACTTGGACATTTTGTATCCAAGGCCTGCCGACCGCGTGCGGCTACAAGCCTTCTCTGCGGCCCTGCGCAAGGTGGGCAACGTTCCATGGCCATCTACAATGTCAATTTACTGCACATACCGGACCCATTTGGGACTGAACTTGAGTTCTTTCGGGCGTCTCCTGCCGGCCTTCTGATGTCTGCGGGCTCTGGTGCCATGTTCGGGAGATCATGACCCATATCCGAATCAGGCGGCTCGCCCAGAGAAGCCGGAGACGCCCAAGGCCTCCACCATAGGCGCGCGAACGTGCATCGCGGTCTTGAACTCCGGCTGAGCGAAGTGTTGCCAAAAGAGGGGAAGGCCCAACTGACGAGGTGGATTCCTTTAGGTCTTTCTCCGCAAACCACGCAAGGGCTTTTTCATTTTCGGAACCCTATGTGCTTGGTAGCCAGGGGAAGGGTCGCATTTAGTTTCCCACTAGCTGTTTGCGAAACCAACATCAAGGATGTTGACATGCTAGTCCAACACAAGTCGCCATGATGCGGGACGGTCAATATCATGTGAATGGTAGCGCTCGATACAATGTAGCAAACGCTCGGCCTAGATGAGCTGCCTCCCGAGCCAGCACCAGAGCCCGAGTTGGAGGACCGATTGCAGTCAGGTTCTTGTTGAACAGTTCCTGGAACCTCCTCCAACCGGAAAACCCTTCACCTGAACAAACTTTTCACGTGTCTGTGTGTTTTGGAATCCCCTATGAGCCCCACAAGCGGTGAGATTCGTTTTGGAAGAATCTGCGTGAGGAAGCTCGCTGTGACAAGAGGGCATCGCGGACACAAGGCCTTTGGGTTCGCCTCAATTGTGATTTCACGCACCTACGAGCGGTTGACAGATGCTCTCCAATAGTGGAAGATTCCGTATTGGATTTGGGGCAAACGAATAGTCAGCCAAGAGAACATCATTGCTGAATCCTGAGGGCAGCAGTGAGCAGCCTCTCAGTTGACTTGGAATCCATCCAAGCCTACAATATTTTGAGTAGAGGAAGGACAAACAAACAAACATGTTGCTTTTCTGTTGTGCAAAGGAGTGGCTTGAGGAAGGGTCAACGTTCATGATCATCTACTACTATTGCAGATTATTGGCAAAGGGGAGTACTTTAGAGCCTCCGGCTCATTCCGCCGACTTCTGCTGCAGTTGCCGGAATGAGTGGTTCCTTTGACTTGGGTGATTTACATATGTTGGATTTCGCTGACTGGTTTTGATACGCATATGTTTGATGACTCTGATAGTTGAGATATGTTTGCCTTGGAGCTGGCCTAGCCCTTTGAGCTGGGGGTGGGAGTCAGGACTGCGGAGCGGGGAGTGGAGTGTGGAGTGTGGAGTGTGGAGTGTGCTGTGTTGTGTGTTGTGCGTTGTGTGTGTGTGTGTGGCATGTTGTGTGTTGTGTGTTGTGTGGTGTGTGGTGTGTGGTGTGTGGTGTGTGGTGTATGGTTTGTGTGTGTGTGTGTGTGGCTGGACCAGCGAAAGACCTTACTGTTTCTGCCCGCTTAGCTTCACTTTTGGCCGACAACGCTGGTTCTCAGGTGTAACATGCAACAGCACCGATATTTGGCTGTTTCCTGGAGTGCCATCCAAGAATGGGCACGCCGTCACCACATGCTCGACAACTGGAAGAGTTTTGTTTTCAGCCAATGGCGGCTTCATGCGGAGGCTGCAAAGGAACCTTGGAGCTATGCGGATATCAAATATCTCCACGCTGAGCTAGCTGAATTTGTTATTCATGGCAGAGACCATAGTGCTCAAGAAGGTCACTTGTTCTGTCCTCTGGTATTCTAGCGCGTGTTGAAATCCACTTTCGGGGACGGTAATGTTTACCGCAAATTGGCCCTTTGCAACACACAAGCAAGAGTGTTCTTGCAAGAGCTGGCGTCCAAACCTTTACTAAAGAAATATTCTTGGGGACACGCGGGCATTCCGATGTCATACGCTGTGTTGAAGCGGAACAAAGCAGTACTTGGCCGCGCGGCCCATCATCTTCTACAAGCGGTTTATCTTTGGGGAGCTATTTCGAGCGCTGGCCATCGTCTTGGGTATCATCGGCCGAGCCATTTTTCCACAAGCTTTTGGATTTGACAGTTTGCCAACCACTTGTCAGCGCCTTCCGACTGTTCGACGCGCTACCCATCGATGCAAACTTGATGTTTCAGAATCAAGATTTAGTTGGCTTCTTTACATCCATACCGGCGACTAGAATTCTATCATCTGTGGAGCAAGCCGTGCAGAAATATCACGCGCTTCACAACTTGCATGATCAGTCGGTTTTTACAGTCAATTTGCGCGAAAGCAAACTTGCCTGCGAGCCTTCCGTGGCAAGGCACGAAAGGCTTCCTGTCAAGAACGCAGACTATTGCTTGAAGATGTGGCGCCATAATGCCGGCTTTCGTTACATGCTTCCATATTTTCCAACACTGACGGAGTTTTTCAGCACAGCTTTAGCTGCTCTGACGGTATCCGTTCTGGAAGAGCAGTGGGCCTCACGCACTGCAGGTTTTTTGGAGACTCATCACCCGTATCTTTTCATTACAAGATACGTTGACAACTTGGATGTTTACGATTTCCGGCCCATTGATTCTGCAGGAACCAATCTCACAAATACGCAGGGTCATGTCCCGCATGTCAATCGCAGCCACATACTGTTACCCGACACATTTCGTCTGGTTCAGTTGTACGCTTCTCGCGGCTATGATGTACAGCTCCTTCATAGCATCTGAATCAAGTATTTGTCCCGGCGTTGAATCCGCTCCAAACCTGGGCACAGACGTCATGTCTTTTTTGTTTGAAGCAGCCCCATGTGACTGCGTTCGCCTTACAGTGTTTCCACGCCAGCTGGACCTGTGGTTGAACTCAAAAAATACAATGCTGGTCACGGCTGTAGCGCCGACATTTTCCACGATGTTACACCTGTTCGTGTGCCACAGCCTGAGACCAAAGGCTTTTTTGAAAGCGCACGGGGCCAGGAACGCATCTGACCTGGCCAACGAAGACCAGACACCATGGCGGTGGAAACGTTCCTGCTATCGGCCGATTTGAAATGATGTTTCTGGCGTTGCTTCTGCAAGTCCCACCGGCCTTTTGTCATGACGTGTTAATAATGTCCATTTTTGAACAAGTGAAGCCCAGCTCCTCAGCCTTGGCGGGCGTTTCAAGGCTGTACTTGTACAGAGTGCTGATCTTGCACTTCAAAGACAAGAAATACAAACAAAAGCAAGAGAGGCCTAAACCCCTTGAACCGTGAGCCAGACATTCAGACATGGGCAAGATCTACAAGTTTCTTTTACTCCTTTCGGGGAGCTGTTCACAGTGTGTGTGTGTGTGTGTGTGTTTGTGTGTGCGTGGGTGGTTGGGTGGGTGTGTGTGTGTGTGTGCGTGTGTGTGTGTGTGTGTGTGTGTGTGTGTGTGTGTGTGTGTTTGTGTAGATGTGTTTGTGTCTGGAGTGTGGAGTGTGGAGAGTGGGGAGCGGGGAGTGGAAGTGTGGAGTGTGGGGAGTGGAGTGGGCAGACACCCATCCAACGCCAAAAGCAATCCCAGCCAACACCCACACAAACCCCCGCCCGCCCAGCAATGGGCTAAAGTTGGCCAAAGTGCTGCGTTTGTGCTCCTTGTAACTGTTTTACTTGGCTAACATTTCGGGCTCAAATGGAACCCATTGCCTTGCTCTTTTTGGTGTGGGGGATTAGGGCGAAGCTTCCAGCCACGCCGGACAGAAGTCGGCGAACTTGTGGCATTGCCATTGGCACTGGTAAAAAGAGCTGCTCATCAAATCACACTGTCTTGACAGCGGCCGTCGACGACGTGCCAGGAGAAGGCGCTGCGGAGCAAGGTGCCGACTTTTCAGATTGGTCCTCGGAAGCTGTGGCCTTAGCAGTGCATATTCGCAGTTTCCTTCTCGGCGAACCGTGGCTTTGTTCGCTAGGTGAGCGCCAATTGTGCTCCAGACATCAGCCAGGCTGTGAAGGCCGCAGGCGGTGCGCAGAAGGCTTCTGAGGCCGGGAAGCTACAGATTCCGCGGCCGAAGAGTGACAGGGCCGCGAGGCTGCGCCTCAGTCAGAGGAGGGGAGGAGGTTTGCAAGTCCAAGACACGCTTCAAGTGGTTGATGGAGCTGTTCAGCCAGCGCCTTTGAGCACTGAGCAAGCCGCGAGCACCGACATGATGGCGAGCATGATGACCAGCTTTTCCAATTTGACTAGCTTCAAATTCACAAATGACAGCGATGATGAAGTGCACAATGCGTGGGGAGAAAGCGACACCGAAGCCAACTTCATGGAGCGTGGGCAAGAGTTGCAGGAAGCTCGAGGCTTGGTGATCCCGGCACAAGCTCAACCTGCAGGGCGGTTGCGACTGGCAAAACGGAAGCAGCGGGACAAGCAGAAAGGCAAAGAGAGTCCGGATGAGCCTGTATCAAAAGTTGGAGACAACCCGCAGGCAAGCAGCAGCCAGATGGGAGCTACAAGCAGCGAGCAGGGAGCTACAGCCACTGATATGATGACTTCCATGTTTAACAGCTTTGCCAACATCAACATCAACATTACTGGTGTTGTGCAGGAAGAGGAGGAAGAGCACAACGCCTGGGGCGATGATGGCACGGATGAACTTCTGGGAGAGCGCGCGCGAGAGTTGCAAGAGGCACGTGGCATTGTAGTTCCTATGCTGCAAGCAAAGCCTGCCGGGCGAGAGCGCTTTGCAAAACGAAAGAATCGCGGAAAGGGCACGGACCAAGACACGCTTCAAGTGGTTGATGGAGCTGTTCAGCAAGCGCCAGTGAGCACTGAGCAAGCCGCGAGCACCGACATGATGGCGAGCATGATGACCAGCTTTTCCAATTTGACTAGCTTCAAATTCGCAAATGACAGCGATGATGAAGTGCACAATGCATGGGGAGAAAGCGACACCGAAGCCAACTTCATGGAGCGTGGGCAAGAGTTGCAGGAAGCTCGAGGCTTGGTGATCCCGGCACAAGCTCAACCTGCAGGGCGGTTGCGACTGGCAAAACGGAAGCAGCGGGACAAGCAGAAAGGCAAAGAGAGTCCGGATGAGCCTGTATCAAAAGTTGGAGACAACCCGCAGGCAAGCAGCAGCCAGATGGGAGCTACAAGCAGCGAGCAGGGAGCTACAGCCACTGATATGATGACTTCCATGTTTAACAGCTTTGCCAACATCAACATCAACATTACTGGTGTTGTGCAGGAAGAGGAGGAAGAGCACAACGCCTGGGGCGATGATGGCACGGATGAACTTCTGGGAGAGCGCGCGCGAGAGTTGCAAGAGGCACGTGGCATTGTAGTTCCTATGCTGCAAGCAAAGCCTGCCGGGCGGGAGCGCTTTGCAAAACGAAAGAATCGCGGAAAGGGGCCCAATCTTGAAGTGCCGACCGAGCCCATGTCCCGCGATTCTGGCTCTGCCAAGTCATCTTCACCATGTGCGCTGGCCTTTGCAGAGGACTCCCAACGAGAACGGCTTGCGCGGCGGAAGCAGAAGTCACAGCGAGGCGCGCGCAGTGAAGCTGCCTCGCCATCGCTGTTCGCGGCAGCTGCCACAAGCCTTGTGCAATTTCAACAGCTTTTCAATTTGACCCAATCGCGGAATTCAGAAGACGAGGACGAGTGCTTCAGTATCTGGGGACCAGACGACACGCCTGCACATTACGAGGAGCGGTTGCTGGCGTTGGAGAAGGCTCGCAGTGAGCAAGCTGCTGCGCGAGTTCCGCACCATCACGCTGCTCGCGCCAAGAGGAAGCCGGAGGTGAAGGCAGGCACACAAGTGGTCCCCAAAGTTGATGACGCGAAGCAGGACAGCTTGTTTTGAGCTCGAGCGTGGAATTGTTTGCTTTGGGCAATGAATCTCCGCCACTTTCTAGAAACAATCCGAACACAGGAGGTGCTTGTTTTTCAATCAAGCAGTTTGGGAGGCAGTTGAGCTTGTGAAAAGAGCGCCCCTCGCAGGAAGAAGATCCTTTCCTTCTAGCCCACGAGTCGAGCCAAAGAGCTGCTTCCTTCCTGGGCTGACAAGTTGCACGTGAAATTGGCGCCGTGTTCTCGCGGGTGTGTCCCAACGGATCCCTCCGAATGGCCAGCTTACATCTGGTTTCTCTTTTGGAACGCCCGAGGTCTGGACACACCCCACCGAGATGCACGGCGGTGTTACTCAAATCGGATAACGCAGCTTCGCCCGGAACCTTGCCGGCTGCAGGGCAAGCTTCGGGACAGGCGCGCCCAAGGCGGCCAAGCCCGTGAGGTGCGGTCAAACACGACTCCCACCTCCAGTGTTATGCACGGTAGCATATTTTGACCGTGGCTCACGCGGATTGTCGGAGATGTGCAGGAGGAAAGGTGATGGATCTCGACTTGTATGGCAAATCAGTCGTGTATGTCTTGTGAACAGGTTGCTTTCACGCAGCACGTCAGCCCCTTGCCATTCTTACGTCGTCACATTTTGGATTGTCCGTCTGGTTATGCGACGTGTGCATTTTCCTAGCTAGCAGTTGGTGAAGTCACTTCTCGTGAGACTGGATCAGAACTTCAAACAGCGTGAACGGTGGCCGCTCATTTTTCGGTGCTTCCAAATTTAGGTATTGGATCAAGTTTCTAACCAAGCACATTTGGGTGCTTTCCGCCAGGTTGATTGATGACTTTTGCGCTGGCTCCAGGCACCGTTCAACCATCAGCCATGCGCTCGTCTTGATGAGCTGGGCTGGCGTTGCTGCGCAATGCCGGAAGCAGCGCAGGGGCAGGCGCGAATCATGCCATCGGCTCTCTTTTGCTTCAGTGTTTTGTTTTGAGCGCTTTTGTGCGAGCTCTATATGCAGTCTTCTGTTCCTAAACCAGATGTTTCATTGTCGAGCATCTTTGACGTCTAAGCTTTGTTATGTTGCTTGAGTTTTTGGCTCCTTCATGGAGGTCGATCAAACTTGGTGAGTGGGCTATAGTATGCGTACAGACACCCAGACAGAGAGACGGCAGGCAGGCAAGCAGGCACGCAAGCGTAGGAAATAGCAGGTACATATATATATATATGAAATAGAGTATATGGTTTATGGCCCGTGGTGGTACCACGTGCACTCTTGACCTAGGCCATGAACAGAGATGCCATGGCTGCCAGCGGCGGCAGCTTCAAGGGCAGCGGCAAGCTGAAGACGGTGGGCCTGGATGGATCCCGGGGCGCCCGGAGCTCACTCAGAGCCCGATTTGACCATTTTTTTTTTGGTTCTTGTTTTCCCTTACACACTTTCTTCAACGTTGATGCCGTTTGGGGACATCATGTTGACTTGGGTTCCGGTGTGAGTTGCACGTTTTAGGAGCCGCTGATGATGCGCACTGAGTCAAAGACTCAAGGACCGGAGGTGAAGACGTGCAGCGGTAGGTGCATGCACTTGGCAAAGTACCAAACTACCAAACTACCATCCGCTTGCGAAGATGCCAGATCCTGCCAAGCCAGGGCAAGGTTCACATCTCACATACACAACACTTGCCAGTTTGGGCTTCGCAGGACGTGTAGCATCGCGCACGCCCGTGCCCCCATCGAAGGATGTGACACCGCGGCCACCTCAAGCCACGGGCTTGCTGCATGCTACCTGCCTGCTCTTTGAGGGAGCAGCTGCACCTCTTCTTGTTTCCAAGCAGCTTAGAACACCCAGAGGCTGGGTATCTGTCTATGTGTGCTTGGTTTTTGCCGTGTTGCCAGTTGCTGCTGTGTCAGTTTGTTTTCGTTGCCAGTCCACTGGACGCCTGGAGATCTTTGCTCGCTTCGGACCAGTGGATGAGGCTCGTAGAGTTTCTGTTTCTCGTTCGTTCGATTCTGCTTCGAAAGGTCTTTCTTTTCGTTTTTTTCGTGTGAGGCTGGGAAGCTTCGCGGTGGCATTTCCGGGTCCCATGTTCACACGGTACTCGCCTCAGCCGTCGGCATCTTGCATCTGCCAGCGATGGAATTGTGATGTGTGATGTGGTCCCGACACCCCTTCACTTGAGGCTTGTAGGGATGGTCGACCCTTGATAGGGAATTTTAGTTCATCATTGTCAGGGGGTTCTTAAGAAGGAATCCAAGACCATGATGCTACGGGGTTCATGGCTTCTGTCAGGACTTGGAGCTTCGGCAAATGATCCATCACGAGACGCGGGAGGAGCGCATGTGACCATAAAGCGCTGTGAGTCGGAATAAAAAGAGCCTTGCAGATGCTGTTCACGCTCTTCAAGAAGCCGAGAGAAACTGTGGAGGCCAGTGAATGTGAATGTCGTGCACAGCCCTGCCAATGTCAACCGGCTGGTCCGACAAGACGACTGATTGTTACTTGTTATGCTGCTTTGATAACACCCGCTGATGAAATTCTCTTCTTTCCCGCAGCAGAGATGCCTCTCCACAAGAGCACGCCATGCAGTTGGTCACATTTTGAACTGAATGATGTCGTGTGTTAAATGCCTCTCGCGTTGAGGTCATTGTTGACGGACTTCTGCCTGCGGCCATGGTGTATAACTACACTTGGCAAGAGGTTCCGCTTGTGGACTGCGGAAGAGACAGAGAGAGAGAGAGAGAGAGAGAGAGAACGGGAGAGGGGGAGATGTTCCCCAATGCCAGGTAAAGCAGCTGCTCAAGCCTTGCTTCCAAGAGATGGGCAGGTGGGCTGGAATCAGCTTGTCAGAGAATAGACAGTGGACCCTGCAATGCTTGAT